AATAATAATTATAAAAATATTAAATAAGTTAAAATATATTAATTTAGTATTTTATTTTATTTAATATAGAATAATTTAAAAAATATTTTTACTCTATTTCTCACATAATTTTACTTTACCACTCCAATTTGAATAGGGAAAGCCCATATTGACTCGGTTCGGATTGGGATTCAGATCTTTTCCGATAGGTAAAATTGGAGACTGAGATGTTAATACCCATCCCGCCTCCGCCTCCGTACCCGCCCCCACTCCTGCCCCACTAATATAATTAAAAAACTATCCATATATATATATATATATAAGCTAAAATTAGAAACTTTTATATCCAAAAATTTGTATTATTTTTATTTATTTTTATTTTTATTTATTTTATTTCCATCAAATTTTGAGGACGAGGACGATTTAAATTGGTCCACCTCATTGCCATACCTATATATATCTAACAATATGGTAAGTGGGAAGAAAAAGGGAACTATGGGAGACAAAAGAAAATGTGTAAAAATGAATTATGATAAAATGTTTGGCAAAAGAGAAAGTAAACATAATAATTAAAATGGGACCAATCAAAATTAAACTTCCCCTTTAAATGTGAGGGAAAGTGCATGGAAATTGCACAAAATATTTATGTATTTGCATTTTTTCAAGAATGCAGGAACGAGTGTTGATATGGTTTATGCCTTTTTTTCATTTGTTTTTCTTTCATAGTTTTAAATTCTATACTTTTTCTCGATGTTTTTTAGATTGAATTTTTATTTTTTGTTGAAAATTTTAATTTATTATTTTTAGTTGTATTTAGAACTATTTATTATTTTTTTTATGTATAATAGTAATAAATAAGATAATATTATTAATAGTAAATAATGAATATAATTTTTATTGATTATATATATAACATTAATCTAGAACTACCTTATATTTGTATGATTTTTATCAATTGAAAATAAATAATTTAAATATAAAGCTAAACAATGTAAATATAATAAAAAATAACAATAATGAAAATATTAAATAAGTTAAAATTTATTAATTTAGTATTTTATTTTATTTAATATAGATTAATTTTAAAAATATTTTCACTCTATTTCTCACATAATTCTACTTTACCACCTCGAGTTGAATAGGGAAAACCCATATTGACTCGGCTCGGATTCATCAGGTTCAGATTTTCTCTGATTGGTAAAATTGGAGACATAGATATTAATACTCGTCCCGCCTCCGCCTCCATACCCGCCTCGGCCCACTCTTGTCCCACTTAATAATGAAATAAAAACTATCCATATATATATATATATATA